TTTTGTATCTGTGCATATCTGTGAAAGGGTTGAGGAATGGTCTCCTTTGTTGGATAATGTAGCAAATGACTTGTCATCCTAGTAATCTCCTCATTAGAGAGAGCGACGAACTCATCGTTCAAAACCGATTGCAACATGGAAGAAACCTCCAAATTCGAAATATTCAACGGGTTTGAAAAAAGAGGAGATCGTCGTTCCAACCGCATATCAATGAGTTTGTTTCTTTTCCAGTCGAGGAAGTTTTTCCATATTCGAGCTTCTTTTACGAATGTTGCAGTTTTGACAAACATTTCAAAAAACGAGAGAAGGTTAACAACAACCGTATTTTTCATCACCACTTCAGGACACCCTTCACCACATCAGGATGCAGCCTGCCTAAACAGGTGGTTTTCAGGGTCTTCGGATCTTTCACCACTTCAGGACCATTTAGGTATGAAAATCCAGAATGGTCATGAAGTGGTGAAAGCTCTGAAGACAGTGAAAACCACCTGTTTAGACAGGCTGCATCCTCAAGTGGTGAAGGGTGGTTTTCATGGTCTTCGGACCTTTCACCACTTCATGACCATTCAGGATTTTCAGACTGATCAAAACTCTCACTTGACCACTTCAGGACATCCTTTACCACTTCAGGATGCAGCCTGCCGAAACAGGTGGTTTTCAGGGTCTTCGCACCTTTCACCACTTCAGGACCATTCAAGATTTTCAGACTGCGTGAAAGTCTCACTTCAGAATTTTCATTCCATAATTTTCAGCTACGCTTGTGCAAAAAACACCTCAGTAAAAACATTTTGCATGCCAATCTTCTTCGCATCGGGCAACACAATAACCCTCGAAGGATTTTGTGGTTGCGATGTGGCGCAAACATCTCTTTCACGTCCACTGTGTTAAGATTGCAAACACCTCACGAACACGTGCACGTTCAACGATCCGTCCACAAAATGGAAGAGGTGCAAGTGCATCGTTAGAGAGCACATTCCACGCTTTCACAATATGAGTTCTGGTTTCATGAACAACAGGTTGCAGTCCCACCTAATTATCATCAAAGGTAGGCTCGAGCACTTCGAGGGAATCCAAAAGATTAGTTTCCGTACCACGACTCTTTCTTCTCTTTAATATAGATTGAACACAATCTTCGTTCGAATCACCCGTAACGTTATCATCTTCGTCATTGATAAATGTAGGGTTATCATGCCCACTCGATAGACCTATCCGTGAACCATACTCATCAGCACGAAAATCGTCACCACTCCCCTCCACAACCATTTTCTAAGCATAATCAAGGGTATTCCCTTGCAAACATTCACGCTTAACTTCACAAAAAACAACATGATATCATATTGAGTAAAATTGTTGGTTCCTATTGCTTTCATATCTTTTCGATTAGCACGAGTGTCGTAGTTATGGCACGTTCGGCAGTCGCCTGCGAAGAAAGAATAGGACGGAATTCATCGGAATGTCAAGGCTCGACGAAAAATAAACAAAACAAAATGATGTTGAAAAAGAAAAATTCATCCAAAAAATTAGTGATACACAATATTCTTCGTTAAATTTTTTTAATCAGGCAACGCAACACGGATGTTATTGGGATGACCAACACGAGACAAAACAACGTACAGTTGGCAATGCGCAAAAAACGGCTTGTGTAGCGAGATACCCTCACTAGATACGATTTGTCATTGGGACTTGTGAATCGTTACAGCAAAAACAAAATGAATTGCAAATTACCTCATAAACCATTTGAACCCGGTGATCTCACCATCGCTTGTCAGATCAATCTTGAGGACCAATGTTGTCTTACCCGCGAGCATTATTGTCATTTCCAACAAATCATCATCAACAATCTTCTTTATAATCAGCCATGTACCATTGTTAAGTAGGAGGAAAAAGAGGGCGAGAAGTAAGGTCACCGAGGCCAAGAACAACATGCCAGTATCCAGTGCACTTGAGCATAGCTCACAACACAATCCACATAGTGAAGTCTTAGGCCAAAGCCCAAAGAGGGCGAAAACAATAAGATAGAAAGAATTAAGCTCGTACATTCCTTGCCAGCATCCTTTCCCCACATCATAGCCGTCTGAAAATCGTTCCGCTCACCCACTGCCTCGATGTTGCCGACGTTCTGGCAGTTCCCCTACGCGTTTCCGCCGGTGCCAGAACCGGCTTTATCAGGGAGTAGGCACCTCCTTGGTCGAATGGCGACGGTCAATCGCTATAAACGATTGCCGTCGCAATTATTCCTAGTACTATCCCTGGCACCATTCCCATTCGTCACTCTTTCACTTACTCCGGTTCGTTCATATGTTCAAGTACCTTTCCCCCTCCGGGCCACCTCCGGGGCCCTTCTTTCCACAAACTTCATCAAAACGTCCGAAAAAAACGCTTCCGGATACTCGAGCAACCCGAGCTCGCGCTGTATCGATACCAGAGGCAACTCTACCAGTTCCGTCGTTGAGGTACATGCCCGGATTCTAGCCAGCGCGCTATTCACCACTGCTTTTTTTTGTTTCTTGTCTGAATATGACCCGTATCCCTGCATGAACCGATACTCGAAGTTTCTAGACCAGAGATTATCCTCGTTCTTACCTCTGTATCTGATTTCAATTTTATTCGGGCTCCTGCAAATCCTCAGTTTGCATCCTAGGAACACCCAAGTCCCTTCCCTTGAGTCCGTCCTTTTCAGCTCCAAGTTTTTATCATAAATCCCTTCCAACCTTTTAATAATCGCATCTGCCCTTTTTGCGCAGTTCCTAGAGTTCCCTTCCCAAACAAAAATAGACAGGTCATCCACCAGTCGCATGCTTGTACTAGGTTCCTATCACTTCCAAGTGACTCAAAGAAACAAACTTCATTATAGACACACAACAGGCATGCCAACGGCGAGCTACTGGACTTCCCCATTGGTACCCCCATTACCTGTCTTAGCACCCGCCCCACTGCCATCAGGTAGGTATGTCCCAATTCATACCTCATGAAGCGCGCCACTTGTTCCGTACTTACGAACAACCGATCATTCCCGCTTTGTTTAGCAAAGGATACACCTTTCCCTCTCCTCTTTACAAACACCTCATTTCTTCCCTTCCTCTTCATAGCTTCCTCGAGCCAGGCACCTGACTGCTGGATTGATGCATGCGGTAGCTCGTTAAACATTTCCTTTATATCGAAGGACAACCCCTTCATGCATCCCCCCTTTCCTTTAGACTTTGCCCACTTTGAGATTTTTTCGACCCTCCCTTTCAAGTCCCCAACTGACTTTAGATTGAAGTGACATGAAGGTGCGAGCAGCAACAACATTGCATTCAACGCTTTAGCTATCCTTCTGCTAGCTTGCTTAGAGGGCTCAAAGAATGAAGGAGTAATCAGACGAAATTTTCGAAAATCCTTATTCTTTGGTACAACATAAGCGTTGCCCAGTCTACACTTCCCGTCCCATTTCCCCAGGCTGTCGAACCCTTGCTGTCTATACTCCCTCTTGCATTCCTCCAATACTTGCCTTTCGTCCTAAGTAACTGCCTCGAAACTTTCTTTTCCCCAGAACAGATCTCTCATTCCTTCCGCGTACCTCTTAGGGCATATGATCAATGTTTCTATTGGGTTTTTATCGAGCGGAACCCTCACGTAGTTCACTAGCAGTTTCCTCCACAGTTCCACACTATCAGATACCGAACCTTCCTTTCCACTCGTCTTTTGGTCAACAATCACCCTCTTTACCTCCCTTGGCGTCACCCGTTTTTTCAAACCATATTTTAGAAACGAGTCGTTAATTTCCTTTGTTACCCCCTTCACCAACTTCATCCCCTCTCTCTTAAACGAGTTCTTGGCATTAATCAGACTTGCAGGAACGCCGGTAACAGAGCTGAGCTTGCAGGTCACATGTCCTTCCTCCTTCGGAAGGTCTGAGTCTGCGCAAGGGCAGACACCTACCACAGTCTGCGCAGCAGACCTATGGTTTTGCAGAGTTTGGCTAACAGTCCGATTTTTCTTCCAGCCTACAGATGATCCTGCTCACGCACTCCGAAAACTGTTCCTTAATTATTTCTTCAGCCAGATCCCGTACCTTCCTCTTTGAAATCTTATCATTAAATGTAATTCCCACTACCACCCTTTTCCTAATTTTAATCCCAAATCTTTTTGAAAGTACCCCATCCAAGAGGCTTTTCACCTTACTCCTGGTTGTCTTTTTTTAGAAAGTCCTGGTGGTCTGAAACAATCGAACCAAACTCTCCAACGACAGCTTGTACATGTTCTTAATAGACCATGGTACTGACAACAGCCTAATCAGGAGTTTCTTATCACATGTCAGCCCAAGATTTCTGCACAAGATCCGTATCACCTGAAACCTCCCCCACTCCTGGATTCCCTTCTTACATTCTCTCAGCAACCTCACTCTACCATTCACTCGCAAAACCGACTCCCCAAACTTTCTCTTAATTACTGACCACTTCGTTACCCAGAGATTACCCTTAGTCGAGGTAAACACCTTTGGCCTTCCCCAGATCGCAGAACTCTCTGCCCAGGGCTGAAAATCTTACTAGCTTCGAGGACTTCCGGCTCTTCCTCTTTCCCCTCCTATTACCCTTCCTACTACTCTGCCTTCCCACCCCCCGTTTACCCCTGCAATTCAGACTCGGTGTCCATCTCTTTATACACATCCCCTCCACCCTTAGTAGTTCCTCCTTTTCTGCTAGCACTAATGGTTGTGCTACGTACGTTCGCCATCCGAACTTGCGAAGCCACCTGTACAACTTATTCCCACAACTCGTCTGTTCCGTGTTTCCCACATGTTCCTTCCATCTTAGCTGTAGTTCCCTTTCTGTTTTCCCGATATAGAACTTCCGACAAAATGGGCTGATTAGTACATAAACGCATGACTCAACATCCAGCCATCCAGACGGGTCGCGGTCAAAGGCTTCTATCAAGAAACTTCGAAACTTACTTGCGTGAGCAATACATCCATTCAAAATTCGAAATAACAAGAGAAGTTTACTAAGTCTGTCCAGGACACTCGTGATCTTTCGAGACTTCTTATTTCCTCCCAGTTTGCCCCTAATCACACTCACTTCCCGTAAGTAGTCCCATGCTAATTCCCTACTCAACCCCCGCTTCTTGTTCGTCTGGGTCGGCAATTTTCGTTACGACGGCCCTAATCTCGAGCCCAGCCGTACATGGTCCCCTTCCCCCTGTTGTTGTTGCAATCTCAAAAATACTCTGAATGACACGCAATTCAGCCAATTCCTCTACTGCCTCGTCCTTCCTCGCTCTCCATTCCACTCCTTCCTTTTTACACATTTGCTTGAGCTCCGTACATACCTTGTTCCCCAGAAACTTCACCATTGCTACCTTAAAGCTGATGCTACTGTTGAAGTCCGCCAAGCAGGGAGCTCCTAACCACGGATCAGTGACCAACGATTGTGTCTCCTTCTTCTTAGGCCTGCCCCTTCCTTTTCGTTCTTGCTCCACGGGAGATGCCATTGTGAAGACCGGTTGTCGCGACGAGCTGCCACGTGCTGATTTCGACGGGGTTTCAATTGGCGGGTTAGTATTGGCCGCTCCCCGTTGAGTTGGCGCCCTTTTCCTTCTCCTATTCATTGGTTCTTCCTCCTCGGCTTCAGCTTCCTCCTCATCTTCTGGCCATTCCTCCCATTCCTCGTCACCCCCCGCGATCTTTTTTCCATCATTCTTCACCATCTCGATAAGTTCCTCGTTGACCGCTTTCTTGACTTCCTTCCTAAAAAAAACCCGTTGCTCGCTAAACATCTTTCGGATATCCCACAGTCGATCCGCCTCCTTTTTTTCTTCATCGTGCTTTTTCTCTAGTTCTATTCGCTTCGCTTTTTCTCTTTCGACCTTCTCCAACTCCAATTTTTTCTTCCGTGCTTCTTCCTCCTTCCTCCGATCCTCTTCTTCTCTCCTAGCTGTCTCTGCCCTGTTTTTCTCTTCTAAAGATAATTTAAAGAAAGACGCCATGGCTCCGAACGATTCCTCTAATTCTTTACACAGTGTAACTGTCGGCGCCATGTTTTTTGGCGTAGGCACAGTGCCCTCCTCGTTGATCGTAACTCCTCCCCCATTCCATCCTGAGGCTCCTATTACTGCTCCTCCTCCACCTCCTCCTCCTCCTCCTCCTCCTTGCGGGAAATACCCTCCTTGGTATGCATTCCCTCCGCCCTGCCTTGGCATCGGGCATTCCCTTGCGTAGTGTCCGAGTTGGCCGCAATTGTAACACCTCACCGGCCGTCTCTGACCATTTCCTCCGCCGTTCCAGCCTCCGCCATTCCATCCATTATTCCCATTGTTCCATCCCCCGTCATTCCATCCCCCATTATTCCAACCTCCCGTTGGTGGTCCATTATTCCATCCACCTCCACCACTGCTCCCTCCACCACCCGAGCTAGGGCCTCCATAGTTTCCCCACCCCGGTGGAGGTCCCCAATTCGCACCACCTCCTCCTCCTCCTCCTCCTCCTCCTCCATTCCATCCTTGTCCACCCCCTCCCCATTGCCCTCCTGATCCTTGACTATTGTTATTACCTCCGAAGTTGTACTGATCCATCCTGCTTCACTTCCTAGGACCTCCGCGTCTTTCAGTCAGCGTCCTTCTTCCAATTGTATCCACAATGCTCCTCTGCTATTCTGTCGTAGCTCTCTTAATACTAGTCACGATCGCTCCGTAGAGGCAGCGGATACGTCCATTTTTTCGTCCGCACAGTAGACAATCTACTCGTATCTTCACTGCCACCACCTTCGAGTAGCTCCCTCGGCAGGTTGCAGTATCCTTATTAAGAGGAATAAGAGGCCGAGAAGTAAGGTCGCTGCGGCCAAGAACAACATGTCAGTATCCAGCGCACTTGAGCATAGCTCACAACACAATCCACATAGTGAAGTCTTAGGCCAAAGCCCAAAGAGGGCGAAAACAATAAGATAGAAAGAATTAAGCTCGTACATTCGGCGCCAGCATCCTTTCCCCACACCATAGCCATCTAAAAATCATTCCGCTCACCCACTGCCTCGATGCTGCCGACGTTCTGGCAGTTCCCCTACGCGTTTCCACCGGCGCCAGAACCGGCTTCAAAAGGGGGTAGGCACCTCCTTGGTCGAATGGCGACCGTCAATCCCTATAAACGATTGTCGTCGTGATTATTCCTAATACTATCCCTGGTACCATTCCCATTCGTCGCTTTTTCACTTACTCCGGTTCGTTCATATGTTCAGGTACCTTTCCCACTCGGGGGCCCTTCTTTCCACAAACTTCATCAAAACGTTTGGAAAAAACGATTCCGGATACTCGAGCAACCTGAGCTCGCGTTGTACTGATAGCAGAGGCAGCTCTACCAGCTCCGTCGTTAAGGTACATGCCCGGATTCTAGCCAGCGCGCTATTCACCGCTGTTTTTTTTCTGTTTCTTGTCTGAATATGACCCGTATCCCTGCATGGACGGATACTCGAAGTTTTTAGACCAGAGATTATCCTCGTTCTAAACCTCTGTATCTGATCTCAATTCCGTTCGGGTTCCTGCAGATCCTCAGTTCGCATCCTAGGAACACCGAAGTCCCTTCCCTCGTGTCCGTCCTTTTCAGCTCCAAGTTTTTATCATAAATCTCTTCTAACCTTTTAACAATCGCATCTGCCCTTTTTGCGCCGTTCCTAGAGTTCCCTTCCCAAACAAAAGTAGACAGGTCATCCACCATTCGTATGCCCTGTACTAGGTGCCTGTCCCTTCCAAGTGACTCCAAGAAATAGACTTCATTATAGACACACAGCAGGCATGCCAGTGGCGGGCTACTAGACTTCCCCATTGGTACCCCCACCTCACGAAGCGCACCACTTGTTCCGTACTTACGAACAACCAATCATCCCCGCTTTGTTTAGCAAAAGAATACACCTTTCCCTCTCCTCTTTACAAACACCCCTTTTCTTCCCTTCGTCTTCATAGCTTCCTCGAGCCAGGCAACTGACTGCTGGATTGATGCATGCGGTAGCTCGTTAAACATTTCTTTTATATCGAAGGACAACCCCTTGATGCATCCCCCTTTTCCTTTAGACTTTGCCCACTTTGAGATTTTTTCCACCCTTCCTTTCAAGTCCCCAACCGACTTTAGATTCAAGTGACATGAAGGTACGAGCAACAACAACATTGCATTCAACGCTTTAGCTATCCTTCTGCTAGCTTGCTTAGAGGGCTCAGAGAATGAAGGAGTAATTGGACGGAATTTTCGAAAATCCTTATTCTTTGGTACAACATAAGCGTTGCCCAGTCTACCCTTCCCGTCCCATTTCCCCAGGTTGTCGAACCCTTGCTTTCTATACTCCCTCTTACATTCCTCCAATACTTGCCTTTCGTTCTCAGTAACTGCCTCGAAACTTTCTTTTCCCAGAACAGATCGCTCATTCCTTCCCCGCGTACCTCTTAGGGCACATGATCAATGTTTCTGTCGGGTTTTTATCGAGCGGAACCCTCACGTAGTTCACTAGCAGTTTCCTCCACAGTTCCACATTCTCAGATACTGAACCTTCCTTTCCACTCGTCTTTTGGTCGACAATCACCCTCTCTACCTCCCTTGGTGTCACCCATTTTTTCAAACCATATTTCATAAACGAGTCGTTAATTTCCTTTGTTACCCCCTTCACCAACTCCATCCCCTCCCTTTTAAACGAGTTCTTGGCATTAATCAGACTTGCAGGAACGCCGGTAACAGAGTTGAGCTTGCAGGTCACATGTCCTTCCTCCTTCGGAAGGTCTGAGTCTGCGCAAGGGCAGACACCTACCACAGTCTGCCCAGCAGACCTATGGTTTTGCAGAGCTTGGCGATCATTGTTAAGTCCTGGCTTTGGTGACAAATTTCACAAAAGCATCATGGACACACCAATTTTTAAGAGCATCTTGTGAGGTGGAAGGCTTGATTTATTGAGAGAGTTTAAAAATTATTGTTCAATACCAAGTCCTTTATCATTCGAATCATGGTAGTCAACGCTAAAAAACTCACGCACCTCCTAGGAAAATCGTCAAGAACATAGTTGTTAACAAAACCGACATCGTCATTGGTAAAGCATAAAATTAATCGAGGCGGGAAATATTCGGCGTCCCCCATGTGGTTGGACACATCTTCAAACGTCCATGAAATCAACTCATCAATAAGTTTATTCGTACAAATCTCACGTGGCAATCTGGTTGCGGCAGGTTCATTAGTACGAACACGAGGATGGTCACCATTCCCAACACACATAAAAAAAAATGGGCATACATTCGTGTCAGTTCATCATTCCATAAGCATAAGATTCACATTTTTTGGTCAATTGATGACCCTAAAAAAGTTTCCAAAAAGCTGGGTATCATGGTGTACGTGTACGTGGGTGGCGCGTACACGCGTACACGTATTCCTGTACGCGACACGTACGTGCGTACACGTACTCCCGTACGTGGGAATACGTAAAAAAAAAACAACAACAACAAAGTCATCGAAAAAATCTGAAAAAAACGTATGTTATGCAAAATGATATTTCAAACAACTTTTGCCTGAGACGCATCTTGAAATTTCGTACCAAACTCGAGTTAAAAATCAAAGGCACAAAAAACAAACAAATTGGAATAATTAAAAAAAAAAACTAGGAAAAAAACACACAAAAATAAAAGCAAACTTCTATAACAAATATATGTTATGCAGAAACATGATACAAATAACTTTTGCCTGGGATTCGTCCCTGAATTCCCAACCAAACTCGAGTAAGAAATTAAGAATAAAAAAAAGTAATATTATCATAATAATTAAAAAACTTTTTAAAAAAATATCTTTTTTTAAGTTGTAAAGGTTTTTGATTTTTAAATCGAGCTTGGTTCAAAATTCGGGTATGACCTTCAGGCAAATGTTGTTTGTATCATTATTCTGCACGATATACTTTGTTTTAAGAGTTTTTGGATTTTTTTATTATTATTATTATTATTATTTTTTACGTACGCGTATGCGCGTTTTTAGGTTCGTACGCGTACGCATGGGGTGCTACCCAGCCACAAAGGAGACATTTTCATGAACGCATTAATTTGTTGCGTTGGCGATCCGTGTTTCACAACGACAAAACCTGTTTAAAATCCCCAACAAGAAGTAAAATTTTTCCACCAAACGACTCATCATTCTTACAGAGGTTCCGGAATGTAATGACAAGAGTTGCGTAGCATCCCGCTTGGGCTCGGTGACCAAACCCGAACGCTCGGTACCGAGCCCGAACATGGCCCAAAATAGACTGAGCCTGGACTTTTTTTTTTTTCATTTCTTTTTTATTTTTTTTAATATATAAAAGGGTTGGGGGGCCCTGATGGGCATTGCTCATCTCTCCTGAACATACACACACACACACACACACCACACACGCACACATACACATCCCACAGACACCCCACATACACTCTACACACCACACACACATGAGGACGCGCTCGACAACCCCCTAATTTGTAATCGGTCGAACATGTTTGATTCCCGCTCGGCCGAGTGTCCGAACATATTCCGCTGCTCGGTGGGGCGCCGAATATGTTCGGTGTGCTACACAGGTCAAAAGCTTCCAAGTGAAACTTATTACTCATCGGGGCCTTGTCCCTAACAATCAAGTCGGCACGACGGATAAGCTCCACAATATCTAATTGTTTCGAAATTAAGAAGAGACGTGTGTTATCAATTTTCAAAGGTACGAGAAATCGTGAGTGAAACATTCGACCCTCTATCAAAATATCGCCGCTATGCCACTTGATGCAATGACTAGTCCAATGACGGAAAAAGACATGATGCCTGCAAAAATCGCTTCAATGCAAAAAAATATTTCCTGTTGTCGTCGGTGCATCGATAAAAAGATACAACGGTTTTTTTTCTTGCACAAACCAAATAACGTTTTTCACCAGCACTCGTTGGTGTTGCCGTAGACTTCGAACATTAGAGTCATATCTGCGTTGCATTTGAATCAGATCATACAACAACTCGCCGTTTAGAATTGACGATATCGTTATGTTCTCGCAATGTTTGGTTATATTCTCAACAATTCTCCGTCGGGTGTTGGATAATAAAGGCAGAACTGCCATATGTTTTCTCAAACTTTTGCAAAGTACGGTGAAGATGAAATAATACTAACGATCGCAAACTGTTCGGGGAAACTATTTCATTGTCTGCGCGATACTGAAAATCGTCACACATCTTATCTCAATGTCATTTAAAGAAACAGACAAGATTGGTCACTTGACCAATAGCGAGAACCATAACAAATATTTTACGAACTTTTCCAGACATGTAATGGGCTGCGACTGTGTCTATGAATTGATGGTATGCATTATTGGTTTGCAAAAGACCCAATCGAAGACACATGGATCAGAAAGAATCGTATTCGACTCCGTCTACCATACAAATTTCAGCAAAAGAGCGCACCCCACGAGAATGTTTATAGTTTAGCAACACACATAAATAAAATCGTTCACATTGCATAATTCTCACGTGACGCAACCGAGACATCTTTTCGAGTGGACCAGTGTCAAGGTTGTACATTTTTCAGTTCCACTTCTTATGTTTGTTATCCTACACATGAGTATGAACGATCTCTGAATATAACGGAAACTCCTCTTGAGGAATATGCGAATTCAAAGAGTTTTGTTTCATCCACGCTGTC